TACGGTGAACAGACCACATTGTGTGTGTCGAATTCACAGACGACACTGTGTGTTTAGTGTACATAGAACAGACAGTGCGAGTCCATTCGTTTGTGGACAAACACTGATCCTGTTTAAGGCAGCAGATTGGAGGTTTCCTGGCTGGTGCTCTGGGGTAGAGAAGGCCTTTCCTCACTGTTTTGTGAAGATTCGTTAGTCAGTGTAGGCCAGGGTCTGCTGTGCTCCAAGCCAAGAGACAGGAGCTGTGGTGTGACACTCCCTCTGTAGGTCAGAGATGGTGTCCTCAGAGACAAGCCCCCACTCTGGGGTCATGTGGAGTCCCTGGTGGGGAGGAATGGGGCAAGGAACCATGGTGGATCTTCCAAAATAATTTTAAGATAACTTTATTGTCGTAAAATGCATATTACAATAACCAATATTTTTTCCACTTTTAAGTCCACTGGCATTAAGTACGTCACAAGCTGTGCAACCATCACCACTATTTATTTCTAAAACATTCTGAGCTCCACCCACCCAGATACTCTGCACCCCAGCCTCTTGTTGAATCAGTAGGTGGAGGGGGGTCTGTGGCCCCAGCTCTCTCTCATCCCAGAAAGAGGTAGCCCCAGGTAGTGGGTACCTACGGCTCCTCTTTCATCTTCCATCTGGGGCTGGTTTCCTGTTTCTGAGGATTCTTTGTGTCCAGAACAAAGAGTCACATTGGGGCTGAGAGCAGGAAGGGGAGGTGGAGGGAAAGAGAAACAATGATGGGGGGAGATGGAGAGAAAGAGCCACAGAGATAAAGACAGAAAGGAAGAGAGAGACAGAGGTGGAGCTTAGACAGACAAGGAAAGGTGGACAGTGAAGTAACCACAGTCGACCTCGCTCCAGCTCAGGATGGCTGGTCTGGGTCCTGGACCCAGGAAGGGGGGCACTGTGGCTTTCAGGACCACTCATGTGGTGGAAGAGCCTGGGGTATACAGCCCTGCTGTGACGAGAACTGAGCTGCCCCCCCCATTGGTCCACATGGCAGCTGGGGGTATCTAGGGACCAGAGACCATCTCGGGCATGCTGACCCCAAAGTTGTGAGGGCCGAGGATCTTCTACTAACTTAGCTAAGGGGCTCTGGGAGGGGGCACTTAGCATCCTCTCCTGTGAAATCAGTGTCCAAGGCTCACAGGTTGACAAGAGCTGAGGTCACCAAGGGACTCAGAGAGGCTGAAGAGACCCAGCACAGGATGCCTGAGCCCTGGAGCTACCTTCGTTAAGGGTGGGCCGGGGTCCCACACAGATCTGTGGGGCTGACAGAGTAGCGCCTGCTACCCCGAATCTCCCAGCAGATCAGGGTTCTGCCTCCTTCCGTAGAGAGAACTCACAGCCTGGTGGGGTAAGGGCCTGGGGCTAGGAGCCAGAGGCAGCAAACAGTATAATAGCATCAGCAGAAAAGCGATGGAAAATGGATGGGAAGCTTGGGGGGAGGGGGTGTCCCACACCAGGTGGGGGACACGGTGGTCACTCAAGTGGGGTTTATTTCATCGTAGACATAGATCAGTGTGTGGGCTTGTCTGTGGGCAGGAAGAAGTCTCTGTCACCCACATGGGGGGCCTCTTTCCATAGCACGTGGGCGGTGTCCCTACAGGACCCTATCCGTTTCAGAGCCTGGAGGCTGTGAGGTGCTGCTGGGCATGCAGTGGAGATGGACCACAGGCCGGCTATCAGATGTGGAGGTCTCCATCCTCTCCACTCGGACTGGAAGCTCGCCCCAGGCTGGAATGGGGCAGATTGCCACCACCCCAGATTAGGACCCCTCAGTGAAAGCAGTTCTACGTCCTCCTCCCTCATGCCAGCAGCTTCTCCAGCATGAGGCCCCCCCCCCGTCTCCCTCTAAACAGATGCCCCCTCAGACTAGCTCACACCTAGTTCATCTTGAGACAGGGAGTGGGTGTCCTTCCTTCCAAGACCCCAGACCCTTTGGCAAAGTTTTAGAAGCAGAAAGAATTAACAGGGCATTCCTGCTTCACCCCCAGCTTGAGACCTGAAGGGCAGGAATAATTTTTCTCCAGAAGAATTACACGGACAGGAACCCCCAGCCTCGAAGCACCTCTCCCTCATGATTATGGCACGTGAACCGTGACTCCTGGATGTGGGGGTGCTCCTGTTTCCAATGGTGGTGGCTCAGAGGTGGTCAGGGCAGTGAGGGTCCAGCCGGGCTGGACTGGCTCAGTCCTCATCCTCGCTGGCGTAGATATGGGCTTCCCAGCGTTCCGCCATGATGTTCTTGTGGCGGGTCACCCGTGTGGCTTCCAGTATCTGCAGGAAGGACAAGGAGTCCCCATCAGGGAGCTAGCCCCATGGACAACTCCCTGTCCCTCCAAGTACCAGGAGTGATGGAGATAGGGCTGGGGCAGGGTGACCCCTTCCTTGCCATCAGATCCTCTTGTTGGCTGAAAAATGAGCTCCAGGCATTAGCCCACAGGCCATCACTCTCTGGCAGTTCAAGTCCACTGGCAACTCCAAAGGAGAAAATGGACAGCCCCCTGACCCCTGCGATTTCCAGCTGTGCTGGTTCTGACTTGACAACAATGACTTTTGAGTATTTAAAACAAATGCTTTGTTTTACTTCTTTGAAGAATGGCATCCAGAGTGTCCTTTGAGGCAAAGACGGGGAGACTGGCTCACCCACTTTGGGCATGTCACTTAGGGGGCAGCCCCAGGAGGAGGCCCTCATGCTGGGAAAACAGAGGGTCAGTGGGGGAGGGGCGGACCTTGGTGAGGAGGGCTGCGCACCACTGAAGCACAGAGGGCAGGTGAGAACGGCGCCGGCGTAGAATGGCCAGGGCCCCTGCCTGGCAGCCCACTACCGTCGGAGCTGACCCGATGGTGCCTGACAGTGACCACTCAGTGGGTAGTTCTGCCGCAGGATGCGCTGATGCATGTTGACCGCACAGGCAGAGAGATGCCTCCCTGAGCTGCCCTCACAGGTGTTTCCCCTTTACACACTCTCAGTTGAAGCCTTTACTCAGACAAAGCTCTCTGGGCCCACCTGCTCACATTACATCCCCAGGGTAAAGAGAGAGCATACAGACCCCATGACCACACTCTGTGCCCAAGGCAGGCATGCTGCGCGTATCACAGTTGACTCCACCTCGGGCCGACTGCCAGTGGAGAAGACGCCCAGGAAGAGCAGGTCAAAATGGAGCAGGGGGAGCAGAGGGCTTCCCAGACAGCCGCAACCCAAACCGAGCCCTTGCACGGGACACCCAGATCAATGGTGTAGTTAAAAACCAGCCACATGAGACTAGAACCCAGAACCTGCCCATAGACACCAGTGGATGCCAACTCGTAACGACCCTGGATTCCCAGGCTGCAGCCTTTACTGCAGACACAGCCTGTCTCTCTTCCCTGGAGCCTGGCGGGTTTGAACCTCTCAGTTCACAGTCGGATACAGTATGTTCTGTATAACCAGGGTTCCTTCAGTATGAGCCCAAAGTCAAGAAATACAACTCAGAAGATGGGCACTAGTGTCTGGACACAGAGTGCAGTTAGAGTGAGCTGAGAAAGGCAGCCAACACCCCTGAGCAATGTGTAGGGAACCCGCCCAGCAGGTCCCAACACGCTGTGCAAACTTCCACCCGAAACT